ATAAAACAAACAAATATGATTTTTTTTTTTTTCTAAATATAGTAGGGAATAACTTGTGGAATTCATTGTCAGGGAACTTTTCCCAACTAAAAGAAAGGAATGATACTAATGTGACAGAAATTTGCCTATTGAATTCAGACATGATGAGGATGCAGTTTCTGACTTGAGAAATCTTCAGGCTTTCTAAATAGAAGTTGTGCTCCAAATTTCACAGTCACTGGGCATTTTATAATAATTTCAGCAGACAAATCTGGCTTTTAAAACATTTAAAAATGTGTTGGTTTGAAAAATAGGTATTTTACAACTTTGACAACCTGTAATTCATCAGTTTTGCCTGGTGACCCATTAAGAATCTATTTAACTTCTGCATTAACACCATTTTCTAATATTCCAATTTTTTAGTAAGAATATTCAGGTTTTGTTAAAATAGTTCTGCTTTGGTTTGTTTGTTTGTTCTTCATTTTAAATTCACCTTCTAAGACTGGAAAGCTGAAGCAAACAGTCCCATTAGGAAGATGGGCAACCTCAGCTTGTTCCAGTGCCGCGGGCGGGCTGACAGTGGCTCTTGCAGGGGTGGTGATGGCTGTGGGCAGCGCTCGCTTCCGCACACACACAGAAAGACGAGTCCCTGCTCTTCTTCACCCTTCCATCACGCATCCCTTTGACCATAACCATATCCCTCTGCCCTGTCCACATAACCCTGGGCCTGTGCCCTCCTCCTTCCATCTTCCAGCCGATCAGCCACAATAGCCTGCGTCTGCCCCGTGATTCCAGTGACTGCTGGAAGGGAATTGCCTGTGGGATGGGCACTTGCACGGAGGCCACGCTGGTGCCGTGTAAATTCCCATGTGCAGAAGCTCGCTCTGGGTCAGGGAAACCCTCCCCAGCAGACAGCTGGGGGCTGTCTCTGTGTGCTGTGTGCCATCCTGGGGGCTTCACAGCGTGGGAGCTCTCTGGCCTGGTACTGACACGGTGGGAAAGGGTTAGTGCAACCCCTCGGCGCATGCAGCTCGCAGAAGGGAACTTCTAGACCATGGCTCATCCTGGGATGGGCATCTTGCCCTGGGATGGGATCGCTGTGCTCGTGTCGCTCCTGAGGGTTTTTTTTTGTTTTTTTTTTTTTTTGTTTTTTGTTTTTTTTTTTTTTTCCTAACTTGTACTTCAAAATTTCCATTGGTAGATGCCGTGACCTCCGTGGGCAGCATGCGTGTGAGCTCTGGAGACGCGCGGATCTCGAAGCGGGACTGAGCAATGCGCAGGCGCTCGGTAACAAAACAGCCTTTGCAAAGCAGCGTCCCCCTCCCGCAGGGGCTCCGCCGCCTGCCGAGGGGCGAGCTGCCGCGGGAGCCCACACCGCCGCCGCTGCCGCCGGCGGTGCTTTCCCCTCCGTGCGCCGGTGCCTGCCGGTGCCTGCCGCCAGCCGCAGCTCACCTGACCGCCACACGGGTGTGCTCCCGCCATACGGCACGGCGGCTGCCGGCCCCGGCGCCGCGGGACCCGGGCCGCCCCGGAGCGCCGCGCCGCCGCGGGTGGGCCCGGCCGTGCCGCCGGCGGAGGCTGAGCTGGCCAGGGTACTGACCCGGCCCGGCACGGCCCGGCCCGGCCCGGCCCCGCGCCGGGCACGGCTCGGCGGGTGCCGTCTTTGGAAAGCATGTGGCATCCTCTGGGGCTCCCACATCTGGAGTTCTTCGTTCGCACTTCTGGCAAGAGCTGCTTGGTTTCGTGTTTTGCTGGGTAGTTGGTTTCTAATTTGTGGTGGTTCGGTTGTTTTTTATTTATTTATTTACTTATTTATTTTAAATTATTGTTTTTTGTTGGCTGTGAGTGTCATAGAACAGAATCACAGAATGGTTTGGTTTGGAGAGGACCTTAAAGATCATCTAGTTCCAGTCCCCCTGCCAGGGGCAGGGACACCTTCCACCAGACCAGGCTGCTCAAAGCCCCGTCCAACCTGGCCTTGAACCCTTCCAGGGAGGGGGCAGCCACAGCTTCTCTGGGCAACCTGTGCCAGTGTCTCACCACCCTCACAGTGAAAAACTTCTTCCTTATATCTAATCTAAATCTACCCTCCTGCAGTTTAAAACTGTTACGCCTCATCCTATCCCTACACTCCCTGATAAAGAGTCCCTCCCCATCTTCCCTGTAGCCCCCTCTAAGTACTGGAAGGTCACTATAAGGTGTCCATGGAGCCTGCTCTTCTCCAGGCTGAAAAACCCCACCTCTCCCAGCCTGCCCTTGTAGGTGCTCCGGCGCCCTGATTATCTTCGTGGCCTCTTCTGGACCCACTCAAACAGGTTTGTGTCCTTCTTGTGTTGGGGACCCCAGAGCTGGACACAGGACTCCAGGTGGGAGTCTCACAAGAGTGGAGTAGAGGAGGAGAATCCCCTCTCTTGACCTGCTGGCCACACTTCTCTTGATGCAGCCCAGGATATGGTTGGCATTCTGGGCTGCAAGTGCACGTTGCTGGCTCACAGTCAGTTTTCCATCCACTAACACTCCCAAGTGCTTCTCAGCAGGGCTGTTCTCGATCCACTCATGACCCAGCCTGTATTTGTCCTGGAGCTCCTGCTCAGGGTCTGCCCTGTCCAGCACCTCCTGGGGTACCCTTCTCCTTGTGTCTTTCTCTTTTCTGTTTCAGTCTTTAATATTTGAGGGCTGCAGGCTCCTTGCTGGCTGTTTCCCCTGAGTTTCTCTTGATGAGATTTTCCCTGAGCCTCCAGAAGCTGTGGCTTGCCACCCCTCTTCACTCAGTGCTGCTGGTCCAGACGAGTGGCACAAAGGTGTCTCCTCCCCTGCATCGAGTACATCATGGTGGTGTCTGGATGACCAGGCACTGAGTTCTTCGGGGAGCTCCATATTCCAGACATCTGCCCACTGTTTAAGCTGGATCTATAATGAATGTGGGGTCCACCTCCATTTTTAGGTTTTGTACAATTTTGTTGGGTCCTTCATCAGTCTGGGAAGCCAGGACCTTACGTGTCTTGCCTCTGCTTCTGAATGTCTGCAGTAGCAGCTCTGACAACCCCATGAAGATGACTGCCAGATAATTCCTCCACTTTCTGTGCCCTGCATGCCTTTTCTCAGACTCTCCCAGGGATTTATGTGAATATGACTTGACTTCCTTGTGCTAATCCCCATCACAGCAGCTCCCTCAGCTAGGGACAGACTCCAAACACACTGCTCTTGCTCCCCATTTCTGGGACTGGTCCCCTGGGTCTGCCTTTTGTCCCCAGACCCTGCTGTCAGTGCACACAGGGCCTCCTTGATGTGTTTTCTGCCATTTTGCCTTGGGGGTGGGGGTTGTAAAACGGTTGCATTCAGTTCTGTAGAAAAGGAAATCCATCACCCTGGGAGGATGAATGACTGTTCATGAGCTCCAGGTGCCACAAGTAGCTGTAGCAATAGCCTTTCTGGTGTGGGAGAGTGCTAAGGTTGTGTTTCTCAGTCTTCAGTTCTCCAAATATCGCACACAACAGGGATTCAGGATTGTATCATTTATTAGTTGGACAGAGTTTGGGTAGGCCCACATCTTGCACAGTGTCTACCTAAGAGGTTGTCCTTTACTACAGATGACAGGTGCTTTAAATGACATTGCTGTTCTGAGCAGTCTTTTTTAGGCAGGCTTTAGAGAAGCCGTATTAGTTGCAAACTATGCAATGAAGAGACAGAGCACAGCCTGGGCAAGACAAGTGTAGTGACTCCAGGATGAGGCTCAGAGACAGAAAGATAATGTGGCTTCCAGTCCTCCACCCCACTCTTGAAGGGAGTTCCCTGCCAGCCCAAGACATAGCAGAGCTTTGAACCTAGGTTTGCTGAACCTGAGATTTGACACCTTGAAGGACAGGAGTGTGACTGTTGGAAACGTCTTCGGTGTTCCTTGACTGGAACTGGACAGTGTATGTGGAGCAAGATGCAACTCTCTTCTGACAATAAGCTCATTCAGCAGCTTCTAGCTATATGGGAATTGAACCAAGCTGGAGAGTGTATGTGGAACAAGACATGACTCTCTTCTGACAGTAAGCCCCTTCAGAAACTTCTAGCTAGATAGGGATTCAACCAAGCAAAGCACAACCTCATGATGCAAAGGGTGACCTCATGCAATGTGGTGGAAGAACTCCAACTTCCATCCTTCCTTATCAGTGCTGGCTGCCTAAAGTTTTGTAAGAATTAGACACAGCATATGGTGCCTGTGGATCTGAGCATGTTACAGAATTTATTTAACTCAGAAAGGGACCTTGCAAGGACTAGTTTTTACCACTCTCCTCCTGTTTGGACTGGACACATCTTACTTGATTCTTCTCTGCCCTGCTACCCCCATCTTTCCATTTCCCCAGCAGGTGAGTAGATCTAGGAGAGGGAATATCATATATTTATTTCACAATATGATTTATAAAATGCTCATATGAAGATAAAACAATTGTTAAATAATCCTCCTGCATCCTGAATTGAATGTCAGGAGTTAGAAGGGTACAGAGATCTGTTCAAAGAGTCATAAGCCATGCTGACCTAAGTCTACCTGTGATAGCTGCAGTGAGGATAAACAAGGGGAGAACAAGCCTTCTTCCTCACCTCTTTGACAGGCAAGGATAAATGGAAGCCAGGGGTCACCAGGATGGGATTTAGTCTTTTCTCATTATTTAGTGTCAAACACACCAGTAATAGGGTCGTAATAAAAATGTTGGGAGACTTTTGCACTTTCCTGCAAGGGAGGGGTCATCATTGTAAGACATTAACTGCTAGGCAGGTGAAGGATGGAAGGGGTGTTAGGTGGTGTGAGCATATTGAAGTAAGTGCCTTGAGCTTTCTGTGGGAGAAAAGGAGACTTGAGCAGAGGAGGTTCATTGGATAGGTGGATCCAAGGGCTTGGACCCTTTCTTGGGGTTGCTCGTGCTGAGTGATGGTTGTGTGGCTGTCGTGTTGGCTGGTGCTGATCCAAGCATGTGGTGAAAATGAAAGCTGAGGTTTGGCCATCTCCCTTTTTTCTTTCCCTTTTGCTGTAGACATTGTTCGCAGCGACATTGCCCTGGATAAGCAGAAAGGCTGTAAGATCGCCCAGCATCCTGACATAATGTTGGAGCTACAGAGGGAAAAGGCAGCTCAGATGCACTTGGTTTTGTTAAAGGAGCAGTTTTCAAACACATACAGCAACCTCACATTAACAGGTAAGGCTGCAAGACCAGCTCTGGAGCCAGGAGTTGGGGCTAGTTCTTGCTAACTCACAGGTGTGTTAAAACCCTCGGGTGCTTCACCTCTGTATGAATCAGCATCTCTCTGGCTGCCTCTGTTTCGTACCAAGATTACTGGGTACTGGGAGGGAAAGGACTTGCAGGAACTCGTGGTGGACTCATAAGGCCTCTGCAGCTGGCACCTACGCAGGCACTCCAGATTTGGTGCCCCTGGACAGAATGTTTTCTACGGTCTGACCTAAGCAGAATACCATGGCACGTGAAGTGCTAGAGAAATCTCCCTGCTAACTGTTCACGTCGATGGGGCTGCAGCAATTACTAAATTTGGAGTCCTTTAAGCTGCAGCTGATTTTTTTTTCTTTCCAGAGCATGCACTTTGTGTGAACCCAGTAAATATTAAAGAGCAAATATAAAGGGATAATGGCCCAGACAGAGATGAGAGGATACTCTTTTTCTGGCAACTGTTTGTATTATCCAGAGAACAGAATCTCAAAGGATGGAGGAGACTGCCACATTTTGGATACACATTTAACGGTGCTTGTAAAGGACTGATGTCTTCAGGCAGTGAGTGGGCCGAAGGATGGGATCCCAGCAGCCAGCAGTGTCCTTTCATAGCTGTTCTTCTTATCACTACAGCTGGATGAGTCACAGACGATGGGAAGGAGGAAGAGACTAATAAATCAAACAAGATCTCTTTCTCCTCTTGCTGGGTCCCTTTCCTGTGAAAGGCAGGGAGGCATCTGATTTTTATGGGAGGGAGGGCCCCATGCTCTGGCTGGGGAGGAGGTGCCAAGCCCCATGGTGGCCTTCCCCTGCTGCTGGGCTGGGAGAGGCAAGAAGGGCCTGTGCAACTTCCCCACCTCTGCTGCCATCACTAATTCAGTGTCCAGCCCCTGCCTTGAAGCCAGCGTGGGTCTGTGTCCTCGCCAGTGCAGCAGTGAGCTCTGGCTGTTCTGGGGACACTGGCTGTACTGGACTGCTCGAGGACCCCACAGAGGTGGGGTGGCAATAGCAGGGCTGGCAGAGGGCTCAGCCCAGGGGGCCAGTGGGCATCAGGGCCATGAGTGTGGTTGAATCGCATCATTCCTGAAAGCCCAGCATTTAAATGGGATCCTCAGAGCCGTTTCTCATTCTCTGTAATGTAATCCACTTGGCTGTTTATTCCCAGTACAACTGCTGGAATCAACATTGTCAGCTTTTCCCCTGACAACTTGCTTACTTTCCACTAAACAAACTTCCCTTGAGAAGAGAAGCTGCTCTCCCCTATCCTCCTTCCATTGCTGCTTCAAAAGCTCTCCGGCATTGCTCACATTTTTTACAGAACCTGCAGAGCAGAGGTGCTACCTGGTTATCAGCTCAGCTCTTAGCCTTTCCAAGTGTGTTTACAGGATAGTTCAGAAGGTTTTAGCTCTAACTCTCCAGGGGGGAGAGAGCAATTTCACTGGAATATTACCTAAAGAACTATTTTAATGTCCTTTAACTCCCTTTGAATGTGAGCAGAGCAACTTCATAATTGTTATGAAGTTTAATCTTTTATTTCATAGACATAGTCTGAGAACATGGATTCTAGACAGCTAAGCATAATATTTAACTGGAACTCTACTAACTTGTGTAAATATTTCCCTTCTCTGTGATGGATCTGGTGTTTGGGGTGGGCAGAGGGGGTTGTACATCTGTTACAGAAGGGCATTCCTTACCTTCAAAATTCAATCAGCCAGAGTTTGCTTGAGGACTTCTTTTTGTTCTGCGTAGTGGTTTTGTACAGTGCTGTAGGGAGTCCCCAGGTTGTGAGGCGAGGTGCAGGAGCAAGGATCCAGATCTGGTTTAGGGAGGGACAGTGGAGGACTGAGTTTGCAGGGATGGAGTATCCAGGGGACCCCTGAGAACAGGGTTTCCTCCTGGCGGTCTGTATCCAGGAGTCACTTGGCCTCATGCAGTACATGTAACTGTGGATGAGCCTAGTGTCCAGCCTAGGCTGGGGGAGTATTCAACCCCACACCTCTGTGTAAGAGGGGCTCCTACTACTGCTAGTTCTTGCAGCATTTTAATTTTACCAAAGAAATTGAAATGGAGTCTCTTGCCCAAAGTCACGTGAGAATAAAGGTGCTTTACGATGGGATAGCTACACTAGGAGAGCCTGGGAGTAGAAATACCACTGTGAGGCATCTTTATTCCTGTGCTATTACCACTACCACTGTAGTGATTTGGATAAAAAGTTCCCTTCTCTTCCTCCTTCTCCCGGATGACATAGTTATATGAACAACTTGAAAGACTATGGATCAGGCCTCCCACACTGCCTGCAAGTGTGGGCAAATGATATTGCCATCAAACTTCCATGCAGTATCCTCATGGCTTTAAGAATGAAAGCTCCTAGAGTGCAGGGAGTGTGATTCTGTAGTCCCTGTGGCATCAGTGTAAATCAGGGGCTTTTTCAAATCTATTCACCAGTTTCACATGGTTCCCAGCGTACTCCTTATCTCAGCGATCAGGCAGGGTTGTGCTTTTGCACTGGGATTTAAGCTGCTCCCAGCAGCAGGTACCTCCAAGGTAAGAGGGTGTCTTAAAATTAAATGTGTTTTTTTTTGTGCTAAGACACAACTGAGACTGAGTGAAACCAGGCAGTCTTTCTGGCTTTCGTTCCTCCAGGAACACATGTTAGACTCTGGCTTAGGCCACTTCAGTTTCTCTAGGCAAGTACGAGCTTTCCTCAGCTCCTGTCTGCAGGCTTTCTCTTGCATCTTGCATTTGCTTTCTGTACGTGATCTTCCTAGGCTTACCGAGCCTACCTCATGGAGATGAATGATAGTCTTTGATCTGTGAAAGTACTATTTAAATACTGTATAATGTTTTGAGGCTTATTAATCTTTGCTGCTTCCCCCTTGGTGCTCAGAGATAGGTATCTTGTTTCACAGATCAGTGTCTCCGATGCTCTCAGGTGAGCCTGTGGTAGAGCAGGGGGAGAGTGCACAGCATTGCCTGCTCTCCTCTGGAAACCAGTGCTCTCTCAGCTCAGCCGTGATGGGATGTGGGGGGGAGGAGGAATCTTTCCCTAGAAACACTTCTCTGCTCTTCGCCAGTTGAGTTAGGTGGAGGAAGCAGCGATTCTTTTATGGCTTGTGTCAGCTGGAGTAGAAGTTGCAGTTGTCACAGCAGGCTCCCCTCCTTTGCAGCCCTCAGGAGAAATGTCCAGGTGACAGTAAGGTGATTTTGGAGCTGCGGGGTGAATGCACAGCATTGGGCTGGCAGCAGGTGGGGTGTGAGGAACTGCCCAGGGCAGTGGAGACACAATGTTTGTGCAGTTTTTAGGGAGGGAGGTTGTGGGGAGTGGGGCAGAAACAGGCAGATAGATTATTTGATGGATTAAATCTGAATCCTTCCATCTGTGGTACCAGTTTGGGCTGGGTTAATGTACTGCATTTGTACTTTAAGAGTCTGGATATCCACAGGTTTCTGCACACTGCTGTTAAGTAAAGCCTGTTAAACCCAGTGGAAGAGGGAGTTGCTCAGGTCAATAGACATAAGTGAAAAACTGTCCCCTCCTGTATTTACATGAAGTATTAAGTGAAACTGAGCTTCCCAAGATACAAGTATGAACATAAATTTCCCTCTAGGAGTTCCCATCCTGAGGAAACAAAATAGTGCCCTACTTCTCATTCTGAACAGTGGAGAAGTGTCTCTTCTTTCTGCTCCATCTTCTGCCTAAAGCTACAATGCAGATCACTGCATCCAGAGACTAGCGATGACAGCTCTCTGACCAGTCCCACCACACCATATCTGCACTGAAAAGCCAGTGAGGAGACCACAGGATGTGTGGTGGGAGCCCTCCACCCTGTCTCACCATGCCACACAGCCTCCAAAAGCAGTGGTTAAGGGAGGAGACCCTCCCCACAGGGTACATAATGCTTCCAGCTGACCCTCTGTGGTCCCACCCTGCTGAGTGCATTAGCAGAACATCTCTTCCAGCTGCACCGAGAGAGACTTGGGGGGATTAAAATCAGGTAGGAGCTGCCAGGAACAAAGCTGAGAGCTGCTGAAGAGTGCATTTCACTGTCTGTCCAACATTGCAATCAGGTGTTTTACAGTGGCATCCAATTACCCACATTAAGGTCATTAGATAACTTAAACTCTGCCATAACTAGTTGTGAGTGTTATATGAGGCTTTCCTTGGAAAAGCCTACTTCTGGAGATGTTAGCAGCCAAGCAGAAACCCTCTTCATCCAGGGTAAGTAGTATGGGTGTGTGAGGTGGTGGTGATGGAGGATGCACACCAGCTTTTCCTGTGTGGGGATGCATAATGGTGGGATGAGCGGAGCAAAGCAGAGTGTGGTGGAGCACGGTGTGCGTGTGCCTACTGCAGAGCAGCTGTGTTTGGGGGGGTACAGAGCAGGGATGGGGGCAGTGTTCCTGCATGAAGAGCTTAGAAGTGAGCAGCTGCCCTGCAGAAATATTTTTTTCCCTTCTCCCTTGTAAAGAGCAAGAGCCACAGTTGTGCTTGTTCCTTGTCAGGGAATCACACAGCTCAGGACAAGCACCTGTGACATTTGTGTTTCTTGTACTTGTGAACCTCCCCCAGTGATTTTGAAATTCCTGCTGAATGCTGTGGCTCTGGGAGATGGTGGTGCTGGAGCAGGATGTGTCTGCAGGGCCTGGGACCCATCCCGTGGGGTGCTGGGTGTGGAGGGGACCATGGGTCAGAGGCTGCCCTTGTGAGAGGGTCTGTGCAAAGAGCAGGGCGTGGAGCTGGGTGTGCTTTGGTGCCTGTGCTGTGCTGCCAGACAGGAAGGCTGCTTTGCTTGGTTTTGCCGGAGTTTTCCCCAGATGTATGGTTTTATCCCTAGTTACAACTAACTCCGTGGTCTTGGAGCGGGGGCCACCTTGTGAGATGGGACCTGGGAGGGCTGTTGCAGAGGTAAGTGCAGCTTTCATTCCTTTTTGGCAGCTTGTTTGGGATCAGCAGCCTAAACATCCTGTGGTCT